AAATAAAACAACTAGTGATGTTTTAGTAGTTGTCATAGCTTCAGTTTAAAATGTAATTACTAATACACTCAACAGCATAGGCAAATCTCAAAAGTAATTGTGCCAAGTGCAAAAACCAGACATGGAATATGATTTCACTTGTGCAGCAATTTTGAGGCGGCACATCTACAGTGGAATAGGGCATATTGATGTGTACCGGGGCAGGGCGACCAAGGGAGGTATTTACTGCAGTGGTCTTGTGGGAACTTTTTTGTAGATAGATGATAGAAATTTCCTATATTTTAATTATGAAGATATATACATAAATTCATAAATTTGTCCAACTCATCAAAATGTACAAGATAAAAGGAACGTTGATTAATTTTATGCTATGGTTTTTTGTTGTTCTTTTATTGTACTGAGAGTCAAACTCAGGACCTTCGCTTGCTAAGCACTGAGCTTCATCCCCAGCCCTTGTGCTATGTTAATTAAGCCTCAATAAAACTGATTTTGTTCCAGCGTCAATTACCTGGACAAATTATTAACAGGGATAAATTTGTAAGTTTAATGAAATCTACAAACAAATAATGAGTCTAGATGTACACTATAAAAACTAAAATTTTATTTGTATAAAAATTTTTGTTTAGAAACATAATTTAATGTTCCGGAAATGCCATATCTGTTTTTCTGTCCCACTCAGTCCTTTAGTATCTGCAGGAATACAAAAATTTAGCAATCTGTGAGACACATTTATTAAAATTACTTGTTTTCTTCAGAGGCATGGAAGCACTCTAAGCAGTTTGCTAAGAGAGCATACTTTATGCTGTGACCATCAAATGCAAGACCCTAAACATAAAGCTAGGCATGGTGATGAACACCTATAGTTCCAGCACTAGGGAGGCTCAGGCAGGAGGATCGTCATGAGTTCGAGACCTAACTGGACTACATAATAAGGTCAAGGCCAGCATGGACTACATAGCAAGACCCCATCTCAAAACAAAACAGATCCTGTAGGTATACAAAAAGCATGAGCAGAAATCTTTAGGGCAGAGAGACCCCAGGGATGCATACAGCTGATTTAACAAAACAGGCTAAAGTGTGGGCTGATTGCCATGTTGTATAGAACAATCAAATAAAACCACAGGCTGAGAAGTAATTCTGATACCATTATGGAGTCACACTTTCTTAGATCATAGCACCAGAAGAAATTCAGTCATACCCATGAGCTTCCTTTCAAGCTAATGCCACTCTTCCCCCACGTGGGACTCTAAAGAGCTCCTCGGCCCTGAAGAGGTCCCACAGGTTTCCAGCCCTGGGCAGCAAAAGTTCCCACCCACGGATACCTGGAGAGAGAGCGAACTGCATTTCCTTCCAGACCATGTACTGGATGGGACCTCGGAACAGGCCCGGGGCCAGCTTCCTGGAGATCAGCCCTTGGGGCACCAGCTCCCGAGTTCCTTTATCCAAGCTGCAGGGGACAAGTCGTTTATTCCGAGACACTCTCTGGGGACTGAAGAAGGGCATCTGGAGGACCACAGGGAAACACTTACCTATTCAAGAGATTTGTGATGTCCTAAGAAAAGAAAGCAGAAAGGTAGAAGTCAGGCGCCTGCTCATCAGTTCCAGGAATTCTCTGTTGGTTCTGACCAGCACCAGAGTGAGCACCTGTCCTCCCCTGCACAGGTGCTCCCCAGCTGATTTCCAAGGTCCTCCTCCCTTCCCATGCTTTTGCTCCTCTGCGCCTCCCATCTGACCCAGGATAAGCTGCCTTTCCTTGCTTTTGATTTCCTAGAATTCCCTTTTACAAGGAACAAAAGAGAAGCCAATAGGACAATAACTGAGGGTAAATGTTGTTTTGTTTCAGAGTCAGGGCCTCGTGCACACGCTAGGTAAGTCCGTGCCACATGCCTTGCCCTTCTTACTTTACTTTGAGACAGGCTTTTGCCAAGTTGTACAGGGTGGTCTGGAGTTTATGATCCTCCTACCTTGGCCTCCCAAGCAGGGATTACAGGTGCCACCATACCCGTGAGTAAGGTTATTTTTTACCCATATTTCCAGAGGGTCTCAGAAAAAAAACACAGCAGCCATTCCTGGCCCTTTCCTCCTCTGGCTAAGCTGCTGAGGGAACAGCGTCCCTGCACAGTGCCCAAGGTGGTTTCCTGTCTTTTCAGTAAGGCCAGCATATGATTCCCGCGAGCCAAAGATTCAGCACAAGCTGTCACATTCTTACCTTTGAGTACTGAATCTTCAAAATTCTTTATAGAAAAAGCTGAAATCAGTATCACATATTGTGGTGTATGGGGTTGTGTCACACTGTTGTAGGCAGCCGAATTATATAGAAATATTATAGGCAGTTAGACAGGGCCTGGCCCTCAAGGAGACAAGATGGAAGACAAGGTGACTTTGCAACTTGGAAGAGACAGACACTCCCATATGGGCCATGCTTGAAGACTGAGACAAAAAGAGGAAGCACAGCTACATACTTCCCTAGGAATGGGAATTAGGGATGGATATCCTAAATAGTATCAATCAACTTGAAAGAGCCCAAATGAGTCACTAGCCCAACCCCCAACAGGAGGAGACCCTGTCCCGTATTCGTGCCCGCTTGCTATGTGACTCGCTTTCCCATTTGATACTGGATTTAATCAATTTTACCTGAGCAATGGTGCTTTTAATCTCATTGGTTGATCACAGTTTTGTCCCCCCTCATGCCCAACTAAGCAGTTCCCATGTCTTCTCCACCACCTCAGACCTGCCTCACCACATGGTTTTCCTCTATAAAAGTCCCTAGAAGAGACAACTTTCCCGGGGAGCTACCCGCTCAGGCCCCCCCCCCCCCGTCCCTCTCTCGGGACAGGAGCTTTTTTCTCTCAATAAATATATTCTGCTCATAACCTCCGTTTGTTCCTAAAATTCATTCTTCGGTTTTAGAGAACATGAACTCGTGCAGATCAGGTCCAGAGATCGTTTCTTCCCGTGTCATTTGGAGGTTCCCTATATTGTTTGGAGGTCACCCACCCAAGAACAGTTTCTCTCCCTGGATCAACACCACATACCACACACCACACTCCTAGCACATCACACCAATGTCTACCAAATAGTGCTGTGAGGCTGGGGTCACACACCCCCATACAATACAATACTATTAGTGGGATTTGATTATCTCAATTTTTTTGCAGAGGGGGCAGTTACTGGGAATTAAACTCATGACCTTGCACTTGCCAGGCAGGGACTACATCACTGAGACTCTATCTCTGACCCTTAGTATCTCATTTTCTAGGAGGATGAAAGAAAAACTTTCTGTGTAGTATAAGGCAAAAGCGTCCTGCTTTTTTCCTAGAGAAATTTTGAAAAGCATCATAGCAGCTCTGTGTTGTTTCGTTTTTCCTTTTCTTTTGTTTGGCCCACATGGTGAAAAGCCACTGCCACAGGCCTCCCAGCCCCCACTGCCATCAATGGACCCGAATCCAGGGCAGTCTCACCTTGAGGAATTCGAAAGCGTTCTGCTGCTCCATCCGAGCCTTTATGCTCGCCAGCATGTCTTTGGCGTGGAGACACTGCTCCCGGAGCTGGCTCAGGCTGTGCTCCATCTCCTCACTCAAGGCTCTCCCTTCTTCCCGGAGAGCGTTGACGATGTCCTTTTCTTTATTGTGCAGAAACTGGTGCAGCTTTAGAAACTCCAGGGACACATGCTCCTGCAGATGCACCTTGTCTTCCTGGAAACTCCAGGAGCAGCACAGGTATTACTGAGAGCAGCCATTGGCGAGGGGGTCCCACGCCACAACTTGGGGAACCCCTGCTAAGTGCAGCCCTTTGGGAGAGTCTGCCTGCTTTCCCAATTGGCTTAATAGTTTAGGATGGGGGGCTGGTAAGATGGCTCAGTGGTCTAAAGCACCTATTTAGAACAAGCTTAGCAAAGCACAGGGACCACGGTTCAATCCCCAGCACCACATGCCAGCCAGCCCCACCCCCTGGTGGGCTGAGCTGGCCACACACACACACACACACACACACACAAACAAATAAATAAATTTAAAAAAAAAATAGTTTAGGATGAAAGGGGCAAGGTGGACTCTAGGTTCTTCCACCTTAGTTCCTGGTTCTGCTTTCTCTAACAAGCTCTCCATGTTAGAATTGCCTGAGAGTGTCCCAGGTGCTTTTCCCTCCTCCTGTGCTTTCTTTCTGGGCGGTATCCTCTCCCCACACCTTTACACATCCCTTCATGATGATCTCCAGCCTTGGCCAGCTTCTGAGCCCCATATCCTGCGATCAGCTGCTGGGCTGATACTGCCTCTCACTTCTAATCAGTTTCCTCCTCTGGCCAGTGTTTGTTTCCAGATGATATGTTGAAGCTCTTCCTTCCCTGCAGCGTCACTGCCTGTCTAGGCCCAGCTACTGCCTTGGTTCTCTGGGACCCCATAGTAGTCTTCCAACTGTGGTCTTTGTCCCTCCTTCTCCTCCAGCCTTTCTCCACCCAGCCATCAGAGATATTTGCAAAATGAAATGAAAGCACGTCCTGTTTACCTCTCTTTAATGATTCCTCAATATTCTGAAAAGGAAGTTTAAAATGCTAACATTTCTCCACAAGGACCACATGACTGAGCCCGTATCTGCTTGAGTATTATCTTGCTTAGAGTAGACCAACTTCATTGTCCTGTTTCTGATTTAGCAAGCAGCTAACTTCCGGTCTCAGGTCTTTCTCTGTGTGTTTTCATCTTCCCAGAATACTTTTCTCGGGACTGTTTTTGTGTCCTCTCATCTGGCTCTCTTGGTTGTTATTTACCCCTGGATTCTCACCTTTAATAAGTGACTTCTTCAGAGGATACTGTCTTGTTCCTCCATTTATATATGCTTAACATGCCCCATTTCATTTATAGTACTAATCACTATTGTTGATTTATTGTTATTGATGAACTGGTTTAATTAATATCCCCTACTGCCAGAATTTGACATAATAACTGACCCACTCAGTAACTATTTGTTGAATAAATCAATGTGAACTCTAACAGTTGAACTGTAGATCCATCCTTCTTTCCATCTGTCATTCCCCTGAGCCTACATATTTCTTCTTCTCCATGTCAAATGCCAAAGAAGGCTTTCCTACATAAATAACTAATGAAGAACTGGCAGCCCTGCGTTAGCTCCCCAACTCAGGGCCTGATCTGCCAAGTCTCTGGCCTTCACTGTTGTTCTAAAGCTTCTGTGAGGTTGGACGTGTAAGCAATAGCTTTATTTAGTTTAGAAACTGCTAAGAAAGATCCAATCAAGTTGGAAAGGCATGAAACTTGAGAGGTCTCTCAGCCCAGGATTCCTTGGTATAAATCCTAGAAAGTGCAGGGCATGGTAGTGCACGCCTGTAATCCCAGAACTCTGGAGGCTGAGGCAGGAGGATCATTGTAAGTTTGAGACCAGCCTAGGCCACAAAGTGAGCTCAAGGCCCGCCTGAACTGCATAGTGAGACCCTGTCTCAAAAAAGACCAAATAAAATAAAACTAAACCTTAGGAAGGAAAATAATTTCCTTGAAAGGAGCAATTTTTAGTGAATTGATAAATTCCTTATTTTAGGGCTGGCCAAATAGCTCAGCATATTAAAGCACCTGCAAGCAGGCACAGGGGCCGGGGGTTTGATCCCCAGGCCTGCTGTGCTGGCTCCGCCCCCGGGGCACACTGAAATGGCAATTGAGACTGGGCGTGGTAGCACGTGCCTGTAATCCCAGCTCTTGGGAGGCTGTAAACAGGTGGATCACTATGAGTCTGATCTAGTAGTGAGACCATGAACACCCTGTAGACCCTTTCCTAAAATACAGGAAAAAAAAAATAATTTTTTTTAACTCCTTATTTTACCATAAAAAGATTAGACAGATCTAAGCCCTACTTAGTGAATACTTAGTGGCTCAACTATCAAAAGGAGTGGGCTATTAAGGGGAAAATTAATCTGCTTTGCTGTCAATTACTGGCAGCCTCTTATGGGTTAAATCTAAAATGTCCCCCATGGGCCAGCTCATGGGCTTAGGAATGGATTGCAAGGACCCTGACCTCACCTGTGGATTAGCTCATAGCTGAATGGGCTCTGAGGAGGAAGGGCTCTGCAAAGGGACTGGGGCATGGGGGCATAACCCCGGGGGGCCGGCTCTTGCCTGGTCCTTGTTCTGTCACTCTTACCCTTACTTTGCTCTCTGGCTGCCATGAGGTGGGCAGCTTGCCTCTGCCAGATCCTTCCACCAGGACGTTTCTGTCTCACCACAGACCCAGGGCAGTGGAACCCAACAACCAGGAGCTGAAGCTGGGAGCTAACGCTAGCCTTTCCTCCTGTGTCTATCTCAGGCAATTTGTCACAGCATCAGAAAGCTGTGGTGGTGCACACCTGTAATCCCAGCACTTAAGAGGTGAGATGGGAGGGTCACCATGAGTTTGGGGCCAGCCTGGGCTACATAGTGGGTTTAAGGGCAGCCCAAATTACATAGTGAGACCCTATATCAAACAGACAAACAAAAAAGCTGACCTAAACAGAACATTGCTACTGATAGGTGGAGTCAGTGTCTGTCCATGTAGTTTTGGTGCACAGGAAAAGTTTGGAAAATTTTGGAAAAGACAGGGAAGGCCTAGAATGCTCTAAGCAAAACTTGCCAGGAATTCTGGTGTGGGCTAGGAGATCCAGAATGCTGATGATAACGCAGGCAGTGAAGAGTGTACTCAGAGACTTCAGATGGGGACAGCACTCTACTCGGAATTGCACCCTTCTTGTTATGCTCTGTCAAAGAAGTTACCTACATCTTATCCATGTCCTAAAAGTTTGTATGAGACTCAAGGGAAAGGTAATTGAGTAGTTTATTTGGAGAAGAAAATTTTAAGGCAGTGTAACATGTAGGGTGTACTATGGGTATCGCCATTAGCCTTCAGCCAGATTTATAATGGATTTCAGGAACAAATAGCAGCACAGAAAAATTTAAATTATTTTCAGTTTGGCCAGAAAAGAAGACTGTGTAAAGCTGGTGACAAAGAAGGTATCATTGCAGAAGAGATTAGCACCACGGAAAAGAAACCAGGTAGCGGGCATGGTGGCGCATGCCTGTAATCCCCGAACCTGGGAGGCTGAGGCAGGAGGATTACCCAAGTTTAAGACCAGTCTGGTTTACATAGTGAGTTCAAGGCCAGCTTGGGCTACACAGTGAGACCCTGTCTCACAAAAAAAAAAAAAAAAAAAAAAAAACCAAGCAGCCAAGTGCTTTGCACTGGGACACATAGAGAGATGTCTTGAGGGCATCTCAGAAGTCAGCAAGACCTCACCTGTTGGTTGTAGGCTCAGGGATGTAAATGTGTGCACCATCTAGGGAACTGGCTCCTGGGATCCACTTCGCCATGCTCACCTGTCCAGACACTCAAAACCAACCACAGCGGGTCCTACCTACTGCTCCAGCGGGCACCATTCCTAGTGTCATCTGCACGATACCGAATGCAGGAGCTCAGGGAGCATGATGGCTTCCACCCAAAGAAAAACCTGAGAGGCCAGGCTGTCCTTGCAGTGTGAGAATCACTGCAGTCAGCCCCTGAGAAGGTGGTGTACGAAGCTCTGAGAGAGAAACAAGGTGCATTAGAGACCCCAGGAAATCAGAGATGCCAGGAACATGGACCATCTGCCCAGGAATGCATGGGCACTAAGTAGAGCCAGCCCAAGACGGTGGCCATGGGGACTGCAAGTGTCAAGGCTGAGGGGGGCTGCTCAGGCTCTGTGGGGTTTGCATTGTGCCGACACATGCCTTGGACACGAAACAGGAACTACAAAATGTGGTATTTGGCTTCCTGGGTGTCAGTCCTGCTTCCTTCCTGGGTGTCAGTCCTGCTTCCTTCCTGGGTGTCAGTCCTGCTTCCTTCCTGGGTGTCAGTCCTCCTTCCTTCCTGGGTGTCAGTCCTGCTTCCTTCCAGGGTGTCAGTCCTGCTTCCTTCCTGGGTGTCAGTCCTGCTTCCTTCCAGTCCCTCCCTGTTACCCTATCCCTCCCTTTTGGAAAAGGAATATCAGTGCTGTGCCAAGTAATCTGGAGAATGTATGATTTGCTATTTAAATTTGGAAGAGGGAGAGTACTAGGGATCGGGCTCAGGATCTTGTGCTTGCCAGGCAGGCGCTTGCGCTGCTGAGCTATATCTCCAGCCCACTTTTTAAATTCTTTTAGGGGCTGACAGTTGAGAGTTGCCTTGAGTGTCATAGGAGACTTTGGATTTTGGGTAACTGTGGAACTTTTAAGACTTCAGAAAATTTTAGAGATGTACTAAATACATTTTTCACAAAGAGAGGGATATGAGGCTTTGGGGCTAGGGATAGAGAATTATGATTTGGATCTAAAGAGCCCCCCAGAGGCCAGCCGATGGCCTCCAGAAGAGCTGGGTCCTGGGACATTCACCTCACCAATGGCCACCAGTTCATTGATGTATTCATAGCTGAAGCAGCCGTTACCAGTAGGACCAAGTTGAAGAAAGTGGGTTGTGGGGAATGAACTGGGGAACTGTATGTTGTCCCCAGTCCCTTCCTATCTGCCTCATTTCCCTCTTTTCTCTGTGCTCTCTGATGTTTCTGTCTTGTCTAGGCCTAGAGGGAGCAGGCAAAACTTTGCTTCTAAAGTTTCAGGCAAACCATGGCCTGAAACTTTGGAAGCAACAAATCAAAATAATCCTTTCACGCTCTCAATTATTTACCTCAGGTATTCTGTCATAGCAGTGAAAAGCTGACTAACACAGAAAGTATTCCACGAGCATATTTCTTTCTGGTCTATTTCGTCAGTTGTCTAATTGTGCAGCCATTTGCAGCCTTTTTTGTCTTTTTGAGACAGGGTTTCACTGTGCAGTTCAGGCTAACCTTGAACTCACTTTGTAGCCCACACTGGCCTCCAACAAACTCCTAGAGATCCTCCTGCCTCAGCTTCCTGAGTGCTCAGGATTGCAGGCATAGGTTGATAATATGTGCACAGGCACCTCTGCGTCATCCCACCTCCCCTGCTCCTCCTCACCTTGCAAGAAGCAATAGCATCCTTCTGCTTGTTCCTGAGAGACTGCAGTTCCTTCAGGGTTGTCTCCATTTGATCCTGGTAAATGGCAAGCTCCTCCTAGGAACAGCAAAGAGTACTAACCCACGCCAGCGTGGGGAGCCAAGGCTATCTGCAGAGCCCAGTGTGCCAGACAGCTTAGTTCCTGTCTCCTGAGAAATTGTGACTCAGACTAAGAATGTCTCGGTGCTTGTGTAATGTGGACAATGGAATTGATCCCCAGCACCACAGAAAGTTGTGAATAGCAGAAAAACGTAGCTGCATCTTAACGGCCAACTGCACCAGTTTTGTTTTGTTTTCATACCACCAGGGATTGAACTTGGGACCTTGCACTTGCCAGGTAAGTACTTATGCCACTGAGCTATATTCCTGGCTGCACCAGGTTGAAGAAGGCAATGGGACTCTGTACATTTTGTCACTCTAGTTACACCATCCTCACCATCTGCCCTTTTGCCTCTGTTGTCCTCACTTGGACCACTAGTTTCTTCCCTCTGCCTACCCACACAGGAATGATTTTCTAGCTCAAGTCCTACCCCTTTCATCATGGTGCACCCTCTACTTTAGCTTTCTCTAACCCTCTCAGAAATTCTAAACTGTTATGAGTTACAAATGTGATCCCTCAGTCCTACATTATCTCAGCCAGGTGTGGTAGCACATGCCTGCAATCCTGAGCACTCAGGAAGCTGAGGCAGGAGGATCTCTAGTTTGTTGGAGGCCAGCGTGGGCTACAAAGTGAGTTCAAGGTTAGCCTAAACTGCACAGTGAAACCCTGTCTCAAAAAGACAAAAAAGGGCTGAGGAGATAGCTCAGCAATCTCAAGTGCTGGCCTGCAAGTGCAGGGACCCAGGTTCCATCCCTGGTACCACACGGCCACCAAAACCGGGCATGGTGGTACATGCCTATAATCCCAGCACTGCAGACTGCAATCGTCCTGCCTCAGCCTCCTGAGTGCTGGGATTACAGCCATGTGCCATCATGCCCAGCTTGTCCTGTTAATTTTAAGCTTGACCAAGTTCTGAAACTTAGCACAAGAACAGTCACTTGCACATCCACCTTCTGTGCACTGTGAGACAGGGAGCCCACGAGAGCCCTGCACGGCACCTTTCCTGTAAACAGCCACGAGGGAGAAATTGCTAGGTGAAACGTTTCGTATCCTGAGCACAGTGAGATTTCTCATTATTATCTGGTTAAAGGAGTGAGGTGGGCAGGGAGAGGCAGCCCCACAGAACACCTCCCTGGCTCCCTCCCGGGCTGCCTGCCCACCCACCGTGAAGAGTCGCACCGCGTCTGGGATTTGCAGGAACTCCTTAGACGGGCCCATGGACAGGCGCGCGTCCTTGCACTGGAAGCAGACCAGCTTCCCGTCGGGCTTGCTGAACAGCTTCAGGTTCTCGCCATGCTCCGAGCACTGCGGCTGGTCCTTGAGCAGGGGCAGCTTCTTCACCTTCTCCACCAGCTTCTCCAGCACGAGGTTGAACGTGCAGTTGCTGTACTGGCACAGCATCTTGCACTCGGGGCAGAAGGTCTCCTTGGCTTCCAGCTTCCAGAAGTTCTGGATACAGGCTTGGCAGAAGTTGTGGCCGCAGCTCAGCATCAGGGGGTCACTGAACCAGTCTTTGCACAGCGGGCAGTGCAGCTCTGTGGTAATGTCTTGCATCGCCACTTTCGAGGGGATGCGGGTGGCTGAACTGTTCACTTCCTGGTTGCCTGGGCGGGTGCCAGAGGAGGCTGTGGAGGGAGCCTTTGGGAGAGAGCAGCTTCAGTGAGCCCTTTCCTGCTCCCCAGACGGCAGGCTCCGTCCTAAAGCAGCTGACAATCAGTGCAACTACCGTTAAGCTGTGTAATCTCCCCTTTCAAAATGATCAAAACTTCAGTGTTTTCCAGCATCATAACTTATGACAGCTAAACTTTAATAGAGAACCAAGGCAGAGAAAGAAAGAGTAACCAGCCGAAGAAACGCATTTTTCGCGTCCCTCTCTTCACCCACCTGCCCACTGCACCAGGGGAGTGTTTTACTTTCGACCTCTGTGCCAGCTGTTGCATTTATTTTTATCCTCTAGCTGTCATATACAACAAATTGGAAGACCAGCTTCCTCCTCAGTCAGAGGCGCGTGAGCATCAGTGACCCAGGCACCTCCCCTTTCATTTTTGAAGGTCACATTATAGAAATACAGATACAGAAAGTTCAGAAATCTGGTGTGTAGCTCAATGACTTTGTGAAATGAAATACATTGCTGTAACAGTTATACTGAGGAAAAAACAGAGCATAACAGCCGAGTGTGGTGGTGTGCGCCTGTAACCCCAGCACTTGGGAGGCAGAGGCAGGAGGTTACAGGGCCTCAATATGTAGTCCAGAGACTGAGCGTGGTGGTGCGCGCTTGTAATCCCAGCACTTGGGAGGCAGAGGCAGGAGGGCTGCTATGAGTTCAAGGCCAACCTGGGATACAAAGTGATTTCAAAGTCAGCTTGAACTGCATAGAGAGACCCTGTCTCAAAAAGAGGAATGAAAGACAGACAGGCAGACAGACTAGATCCCAGAGACTGTTTCCAGTCATTGCCTCTCCAAGGTTGACCCTCTCCTGATTTCTAGCTATTAATTCTGCCTGATTCTGTATTTTATATAAATGTGCGCTTAGAAACATACCCTTCTCCTTCTGAGTCCTTTCTTTTGTTCATTACAATTGTGAGATTTATTCCTATTCTGTAGATGCATGCAGCCAATCTTTTTTTGATTGAGACAGGGCCTCAATATGTAGTCCAGAGACTGAGCGTGGTGGTGTGTGCCTGTAATCCCAGCACTTGGGAGGCTGAAAACCAGAGAATCACTACGAGTCCAATCTATGTAGTGAGACCCTGTAGACCCTGTACTAAACAACACACATTAAAAAAGGACACTATGTAGTCCAGGGTGATTGACTGGGTTTTATGGTTAATTCATTTTGCCAATTGTCAGTTGGCCAGTCCTTGTTACATCCTGCAGGGGGCGCGGTCAGAGCTTGTTGCACATGTGTACGACAAAGCTGTGTTTGTACAAATGTGTCAACATGAAACCCGCCAGTCAGTTATTCCAGTCAGTTATACCAATTATGTCCCTGTGAAATTGACCAGCACTAATTTGTAAAAACTTCATCCTCTGCTGTGAAACACAGGATTGATCATACAATATTTAATGAGCATTCATTGTGCAAATTGCTTTACACAGAGATTTAATCTTTATAATAAGCCCACAAGATGGGTATTATTATTTCTCTCTTAAGGAAAATGAAGCTCAGAGCACTCGAGTAGCATTCTTGGGTCACAGTTACTAAGTGATGGAGCCCAAATTTGTACTCTTTATCTGACCTCAAAGGCTGTCAAAGCCACTCACTGTGCATTGTGGAATTATATTTATTAATGACATCAAATTTGTGAGGCAAACTGCCTGGCTCCAGTTTCTACTGCTCTGGAGGAAAGTTTTAAAAAAAAGAAAGAAAGAAAAGGAGGAGAGGGGCTGGAGAGATGGCTCAGTGGTCTGAAGCACCTACTTAGAACAAGCTTGGCAAGGCATCAGGGACCGTGGTTCAATCCCCCAGCACC